TAATAATAATAATAACAATGAAATGAAAAGAGCACATAAAGAATCTGGCAGCTTTTTGGTCAAACCAAATGGACAAGCATACAAAACAATAAAAAAATAGTCCTATCTCTTCTGTAATAGTAACAGAAGTGAAAACCCTGACAGTGTGCGGTTGTCAACAGATTAAAATATAAGAACGGGCCTTTATTGTTCAAACGACTCATAGACTTGTACTTAAAACAGTAAGATTATTCGCTCTTTATCTCTATGCGTAACAGTTGATGAATCATCACGCGATAGAACTCTGGAGCCCATTATTCAATTGTTAAAAACATGCACAAAGGGAAGTTTGAAAAACAAAAGAAAAGAAAAGCAAACTGCCCATTGTCATTTTATATTCTCATGGTGTCTATACTCTCACCACTAGAAACATCGTCGTGGAAAAAAGGAAAAAAAAAGGAAAGAAGGAAAGAAAAGAAAGAGCCCAAAGAGAACTACAGTAAATATCGCTTTCGTAGTTCTTCTTAAATCCTATACATGCCTGACTAACTCAGCTCACCAAACTAACCAGTCACAAATATTCTTTTTGTCATCATTAAATTTATCAAGCAAAAAATAAATCCTGGCAAGTTACACACCTCAGATACGGCTGATCGTCGTTTCTGCGGAGAGATAACCAACATGAAAAAAGTTAACATCACGTAAGCCGAAGTAAAATGGACACTGCAACAACACAAACCTTATCTACAAGTCTTTTTTGACTGAATCAAAACTCATGTATTCATTGTTCATACTTTTAGTCATTGAAGCTTTTATTCATTCTTTTATTCGTTCGTTCGTTCAATCAAAGGGTCAGTCCCTCAGTCAGTCAGTCAGTCTATTGGTCAATCAATCCATCAATCAATCGGTCTCAGTCAGTCAGTCTATTGGTCAATCAATCATCAATCAATCGGTCTCAGTCAGGCAGTCTATTGGTCAATCAATCATCAATCAATCAGTCTCAGTCAGTCAGTCTATTGGTCAATCAATCCATCAATCAATCGGTCTCAGTCAGTCAGTCTATTGGTCAATCAATCATCCATCAATCGGTCTCAGTCAGTCAGTCTATTGGTCAATCAATCATCAATCACAGTCAGTCAGACAGTCAGTCAAGTCTCTCAGTCAGTCAACCAGTCAGTCAATCAATCAACCAGTCTGTCAGCCCCTCAGTCGGTAAATCAATTGAATAATCAATCTATCAGTGAGTCAATCTTTTTAAGCTGGACTTACCCTTCTAAATCCTTCAGGCTCCACTTCTTCAGACTCCTCCTCAATAGGTCCTGGTCCAGGGCCCTTAGCTGGTCCACCAATGCTGGTACGTATCTGTCTAGGGGCTGGAAAGCCAGGATCACCCTAACAATAACAACACCCCTAATAAATCTCTGCTGCATTGCTCTGGCAAAGGCATCTGGGTAGAGGTTGTTAATAAGCCCAAACTAAGCAGGTTTACCGGCAGATAGACTTTCCCCAGTCTCTCTCGATTTTTGGTGAGGACAGAACCGAAGGCGAGCGCAGTCAGTCTTATTTCACTCGCTCTTCGCGTTAATAAACCATCACAGCTTGTGGGCGATTCGATTATAGCTTACAATGGAGGGAATAAAATGAAAGAAAGGTAAGGGCAGTGAATAGTCTATCCGACAGCCTGCGCTCGTGTGCCGCTGTTTTTCTATTAGGTTGCATGCCTTCTCACGCTTTACCCTGAGTAAATGTTATCCCGCGCTTCCCCATGGTAACATGTTTTGGTGCGCTTCTCCAACGTAATATGTTTTCCCGCGCTACTCCGGCACCAACTATCTATTTCCCCGCTCATTCATGTCGCTGAATGCCTAATTTATTTAAAACTGCTTTATGATTGATGAATCCTACAAAAGACTTTATGAAAAAACCTTAAATACTCCTCCTTAAAAGTTGTTAGTTCCAAGCACTTACACGTTCTCCTGGAGGTCCCGGTGGTCCCTGGATAAGAAACAGCAATACACTATGAAATGAGGATTGACGCATAGTGAAAGAAGCTTACGAAGAAGTGTAAGTTAACCTTAGTTTTTTGCTTGAAATTGACCATATCATGTTCTTTACAAACTACACAACACCGTTTAGTGCACTGAAAATTATTTAGAACAACTTACCGGTTTCCCTGGTGTTCCCTGTCAGGAAAAACAAGATACGATGAAAATGAACACACACAAAAAGTTAACAAGGATTAGTGACAAGTTTCGTCGTAACAAGACGAATATTGTATACTTATAAGAGTTACCACACAATAATTACGACTAATTCGCCATGGTTCTTCATGTAGGGGCAGGACCACAATAGAGGGTGGGCCTTTTGTGAAAATAGAAAAACCGTGCATACAGGAAGTATTTGCGCAGAGGTAATATGTGCCAAAGAAATACTTAATAAGGCAAGAGATAAAACACTGAGTGAGGAACGGTAATTGGTTTGTGGTTTTGATATTTGCTAACGAGTCCCGAACATGATTATGAAGGGTCACTTCACAACTGAGCTGTCAAATTAGCGTGCTCTGGGTTTGCAGTACATATTAGGTTGCAGTTGGAAGAGTATCCGCGAAACAATAGATTTTCCTCTAAATGTTTTTAAAACCATCATTTAACCTATCAGCTGAGATGATGTTTATCTTACCGCGAATCCTGATTGGCCCTGTTAAGAAAATAAGAAAACGAGATAACAGGAATGTAAGACGATTAAAAAAACGAAAATACCAAAAGCATTGACCACTTTCATAAATGGCTGCCGAATTAATATTCTCTTGTTCAAATTTAAATTAGCCTTTCTGGCCTCGCTTGAGATAATGTATTCTCTTGAATTTTGTACTAGAGAACGAGGCCAGAAAGGCTAATTTAAATTTAAACAAAAGAATATTAATCTGGCAGCCATTTATGAAAGTGGTCTATATTTTTAGATTTTAAATAAATAAGGTCACTTGAAGTGATTTTCTCCTAAACAGAGCCAACTTTAGGAAAACCACTTGCTCCAACAATGAGATCACTCAGAGAGGCAGTAATTTTTCCTGTGAGAGGATAATATTCAAAGCTATGTCCCTCTATTTATGGCCAAATGTATTCATTTTCTTGCAGTGCAAGCTATACAAAAATAAGTCTTATCGAATAATTTGTTATTTGCTCAATCAAGATCAAACACGGATGACTGAGTGTTAAAAGCGACAAAACCATTTTCGCCACAGCCTTTTTATGACAACTTTTATCAAATACAGTACTCGATTAAACCTCTGCAGTCAAGGAAGACTTAGAGAAGGAGAAGAGATTACAAAGCATATAAACAGACACTCACCGGTCCCCCTTTAAATCCTTTGGGTCCAGTTGGGCCCTACGAGAAAAACACAAAAAAATTGAATATTTCTGATCGTAGTAGTGACAAAAAAAGAAAAGCATTCCTCGCGAGAAATGTTATTGGATTAAAATTCATCACTTGGAATGACTCAAGAGATCGTGGATTTCAGGTTTCACTCTTCTTTTTGACACACTGACACTAACATCACGGAAACGTCGCCATGAATGACAAAACCAAAAAAACAAACGATTAAAACAATCAAACAATAAAATTAGCAACTCACAGCTAAGCCCTGGAAACCATCCTGTCCAGGTTCACCAGGGGGGCCTTGGTCTCCCTAAAACAAGAAAAGAATAATTCGTATGATCTGCTTTGTTTTACAAGTAGAGGGCAAGCACAATTTGGCACGTTATACATTTTACTATTGGGCATGTATCCACTGATTTTCAAACAATCTCGCTTAGCGATCACAGGATCCACAGCCGTATGGTCTTGAGGAAGTGACACTATTATCTCCAAGACGTGATTGACACAGAAATTATCTTAACAATTCAAATACTTTATCTGGCAATTAGGGTGCTAATTCGGAGACATAACATATATACAAGAAAATTTAAGGCAAACAAACGGGAGACAGATTCTGGGAAAAAAGGATTTGTCTTCTAAAGTCAGCTGTGAACAAAAGATAAACATACGAGCAACTTTTTGCCAACTCAGTGTTTGTTTTCTAATGCCACGACAACAGATTGGGATTTTTTATCATTATACAGACCGGGGGTCCCTGTTGTCCCGATTCACCGTTGTAGCCTGGGTTTCCTGGCGGTCCCTGAAACAAAAAAAAAAAAGTGGAACACGATCAGTCGTGCAAACAGCTGCGTTTGCGTGACTGGCTCAGCATGACTGATTCTGCAAGTGGCTGCCATTGATGGGGTTGAGCCCATTCCAAAGGTTAATTCCAAAAGGAAAAAAAATAATAACAATAATAATAATTATTATAATACTACTTATAAAAAAGAACTAGTAGGAGACAAGAGTGAATCTATGTTGGGACAGATGTAGAAGGCCATCCTGACAAGTTCACTTCATATTGCATGAACATTTATGCTGAGTCTCTAGTTATTACATATGAACAGTGGAACTGATTTCCATAGAACATAATTGAACATTAAGATATTCAAACTATATAAACCATGCAATGTAACAGTTCTAGAGACCTGGTTCCGAGCGGCTACTTTTCGTGTGTTACTACACGACATGCGCGTTTTTTCAAAAATTTTTCAAAAAATTTTTAGTTATTGTTTGTCATCAACTGACGAGGTCGTAGACGAAACTAGTTTTGAAGTTTTCGCAGTAGCATGTTGAAAGTAGAAGTTAGTTGGAGTGTTCTTTCACTTGCATGGTTTATATGGCGTTAAGTAATACTTTCTTGGCTTCAACCAGTATAATTTCACAACGACATTCAAACTATTTACAAATTCTTTTACTTATTTTTAACTCATTTATATTTCTAATTGTATAAAATAGATCCTACTCGACGCTGTGGCTGGCCACGCCTTATCCCCTAGCCACAGCTATAGCTTTGTTTTTATCCTGAGCATCCAGATTTATATACTGCCGAATAATAATAATGACGACCATTATTATCATTATCAATAGTAGTAGTATTAATGTTATTGCTTTTATCATCATTTTTAAAAAGTCTTGCTCACCAGTCGGCCTTGAAGACCCATGCGTCCGGGCGAGCCCATCATACCACGTGGACCCTGACAAGTAAACATGATACATATATCCATCCTTTGTCATTTTCTCTTTACGAGAGATCAAAAAGTGTAACTCTTTTTTGCCTTAACCCTGCTGACGTGTAATTGCAATTGTTTGTCCATTCAAATAAATCCCATTGATCTTCTCATCGTAGAGACTTCAACATCTCGGAGGGTTTTTGGAATACATCCACCATCAGCGTGTCTTAGCGCTGATGGTATCATGCAAGGGGTAACAAAAGAAGGAAAGCTTTGTTTGTCACAAAAGTTAACCTTTTAACCCCTGAGAGTGATTAACATCTAATTTCTCCTTGCAATATCACCCTTGAATAACAAATTAAGGTCATGAGAATTACAAAAATTATCACCAACTAAAGGAGCTTTTGATAATTCAACATATTCTCCTATCAGCACCTTGGGAAATGTATGGAGAGCAGTATCGAGAATATGCAGATGATGTCGGGGGGGGGGGGGGAAGGGGTAAAGGGTTCAGCGTCCTTGAAAGTGACACGAGTCTATACCTTATCTCCCTTCGTTCCCTGGAGTCCACGAACTCCTTTTACTCCTTGAGGTCCCTGGAAGAGGAAGCAATCAACATACAGTCAGAGTTGAAAGTGGCCAAGAAAGCAAAACTGCTGTTTACACTAAATAAGACACTTACACTATTACCGCCAAGTCCTCGTTCACCGTTTGGGCCATCCTCTCCTGGAGCACCCTGAAAACACAGATCACTGGTTAAAACTGGTTTATACTGGAATCAAATCAGGCTCAACAAGCACAAACCATTGGGTAAAACTGGTTTACACTGGAATCGGCTCAGACGTAACAAGCACATTACCTTTTTCAGCGTAAGAGTGTTTTAAACCGTTTTCGACGTGTCTACTCTCTTGCTTTTCTTGTCCGTTTTTTAGTACCTTTGTGGACTTTTAACTATTATTTTTTTAGCATTTTCTCTCTCTCTTTTTTTTCCTTTTTATCTTCATTATCTTCCGTTAACATTATGTATTTTTAGTCTTCTTTAGGGGGGAAACTCACAGTCATGAGGTAAACTCATACACCGACGAACCAACATGTAGCAATGAAATCATACGGATTCGTCCAATCACATTACTTAAAAAAGATCGAAACGAAAAGAACCGGTGTACCTGTGTTCCAAATGGTCCACGGTCTCCCATGGAACCTCTCTGGCCAGGTCCTCCGCGCGGTCCTTGTGCGCCATCTTCTCCATCAAGACCTGGGAACCCTCTGGCACCCTATGGTACGATGACATCACATTGGTGAACAAATCGAAAATTCAAAGTAACAGATCAACTCTAATCTAAAAGGCTCTATATGAACGACAAAAGCGCGATTAAATTATTCCGTAAAGCTGATGGGGCCGAGTATTTATAATCCTTACAGTACAAAACCTGTGCACAAATCCAAAGATATTCAATTCCTTTTTAGTTCCATCATCGAGTTCAATTATGGCTACCATGGCACTGAAGATTATTTGGTCTGTGACAAAGTAGTTTGAATATGCTGGACTAACTTTACAACTACATCGCTCTACGATGTTGTACAGATTTTATGAAGATGTCCATTGTCTACGTAAGAAGGTTTAAATAGCTCCACTAACACTGTTATCATGAGTAGGCTCCTTATTTACAAACAAACTTATAAAATAAAGATACTTCTCAAAACAGTATTTACCTTTTGTCCACGTGTACCCGGGTTACCAGGTGCTCCAGGTTGACCAGGCGTTCCCTAAAAAAACGACACAGATTATGATTACATAGAGATTGCTCCTTACATTAATGGAACAATGTCGAATAAGCAATTGTTTAGGACCGAAAATGATCGTCAAGACTATATAGTGGTGGATACGCAGGGGGGAGGGGGGAGGGGGTGGAAGTGAATCGATAAAATATGAGAAAATATTGAGAACAAAATACAAATTGAACATTCCAACTAACATCTGTGCCAGGGAATCCAGGTTTTCCGGGAGGGCCAGGGGGTCCTATGGCACCCTATGACAAAACATGTAAAAATATCAGTAATTTAAAAACTTTTGACAATAATAACATTGATAATTAAAACAGTAATAATTACGATGATAATAAAAAAATGTAATTTTCTAGCCTAATTATTTCTAGGCGTTTAGTTGGTGAAACGGAGCGAAATCACCGATGGCGCAATAGTAGAGCAGGGGTGAAAAATTTTGGGTCGGGTCAGAAAAAGAACGTCGTTTGTAACGCGACTCGACCCACTCCTTCTCTTCTGTTTGCTATCGCGCTTCTGTTATTACATGAAAGCCTGGACAGACTAGTGATTATTGTATCAGAGAAGAATGATGACATTCGAACACAGACAGAACGACACACCGGACATCGCCATCAAGAACAAAAAAAAAAGAAAAGCTGACCACTCATCGAGATATCCATCCCGATGAAAAACTGGCCAAATATTAAGATTAAAGGAAATGAAAGCCACAAAAATGATTGCAGCCTTGAGACTCGTAAAGAAACGAATGGATATCTATAATAAATACATTTAGGGTAACGTCAAAATACAAGTACTGCATAATATCACACTACTCGGATCATCTCATATCTTAAGACCGGCAATATCCTTTAAAAAGACCCTATCATGATCCTAGCTTTATTAGGGCATATGACTGAGGGAAACTTCATAACAATAGGAATGATGAAACTGATGACAAAAGAATATATCAAACTGAACTGATAATTATATAGTGTAAGAACTGAGAAGATAACACACCCCTTCTCCTGCCGAACCGCCGGCTCCGTTCTGACCTGGTTCACCAGCTTCTCCCTGAAACCGGAGAAACTCGAGTAAATATACAAATACTGAAAACAGGATACAAGGTCCATTCATTATAGAGCCTCTCTCCCCC